AGGTGTAACCTTGTACTTGTATCTCATCACGTCATGAACATACGAATCCTGGATCTTTGAAAAAAATTCATATATCCCATTTGTTACAATATTGCAACCACGCGTTTGAATGTTCTAAATGGTTTGTTTCCAAGCTTAGACAGTTCAAAGAACCATTGAACACATCTCGTCAAAACAAAAATGCAGGCTACCACAGCTTCTGGAGGTGACTGGTTTACGTGACGTTTCATAAATGTTCACATTTCTATCATTATTATCATAACTATTTTTATTATTACTACTATTACAATTTGGCCGAAGCCAACTCATTTAATTTCAATGTTGCTACCGTTGAGAAGAACAGATGGTTCAGCTGCTTGTTGAATGTTATCATAACTAAATGCTTGATATAATTTAATATAATGTAATTCTGCATGATAGTAACAAATAGCAAGCAAATGGAAATGAGATAAAATGCATAGAATCCTTAAAATGCATGGAATCCTCGAGATGCATGGATGCATGGAATGCTGGGATTAGAGTTTGTGTCTGTAACCGAGTTGTTACGCACCATAAAACAATAAATGCAAGTTACTTGAAGTCACTTAATGGAGTGCCAGATCATAAAATGGCTTAATAGCTGAATATTTAAAAAATTATTAATGAAAAAAAATTTAGAAAATGTTGAAAATATTTGGTGAGAACAAAAGATCATAAGGATAAAAGCTTTTCAAATTTAAAGTAGGTACATACTATGACTATTCACTAACAAATTAACATAACAAATTAAAATAACATCCCGACAGGAACAAAATTGAAACTATAAATTGGGATTTGTAATTAAGTTTAGGACTCCTAAGTTTTAACAGAATGCAAAAAATCTTTTTTGAGCGAAAGTAAATTGAATGCATATATAAAATCTAAAAATAAAGGACTGCAGTCAGATACAAATGCTGAACCAGGCATGATGAAGATGACGGTACCAATTGAATTTCAAAGTGGTAAGTATAATATTTCCATAAAATTGTTGGTTTAAGTCGTCATTGTAGATTGTTTGCAGATCAGGGCACTGTGTAGTGTAAACGAAAACCATATACTTAGAATACCTGACAAACACATTCTCATTTCATTTCGTGCCTTTTTGATTAAGTTCAGGCTCAGTCGCTTTGCCTCAAATGAAAGTAGTATAGATTTAAAAATAAACCTGACCAGAAACATCGAAACATCAACAATTAATGTTAACAAATTTATACATAAAAAAACGCACATACTGCATGTGTGTGTGTTTGTGTATAACCAATCACAACAAATGTGTGTATTTATGAAAAGGTGGGGTACTAGTGTGAAATATTAGAAGGCATGGCAAATAGAAGTATGAGAATCCTTTACATTGAACTTCTGTGAGGCCAACAATCTGTCGTGCCAACATGAAGATTGATGCTTCTTCGCTACTGACGCATTGCATCTCAAAATATTTTTTTATTCGATTTTTATATTTTAACATGCTTCTTGGGCTTTCTCAGGCATCAGCATTTTAAAAACTTATCTTTTCGATGTTCTTGTGTGGTATTGTTCAACATACATCACTGATTCTAAATTCCGTTCAAAATTCAGTTTGTTCTGTCTTTAAATTTTTTCAATTTAATATTTAGTTTGATTTGTCGCCAAGGTTTTATTTTTATTTGATAAGCTTTCATTTTTCATGATGGGTCTGTTGCCTGGAGAAAAAGTTGCAACCGCCGATTCATGTCATCTCACCAAGAAATCAAAAAAAGAAAACGTCGACGAAACCTAAAGAGACCACAGACAACAACCCTCCAGTCAACTCCGCCCTTAAATGCAAAAAACTTCAAAAACTACTATCTCAACATCTTTCAGCACGAATTATCTTTTCATTCATTCATTTATCCACTTAACCATCCATCCATTAATAGATAATAAAAATACGTAAAAACAATGTCACTAACACTTTATAATTTAACGTTATATCAATAAATAGGAGAACTTGCCATTATACTTGCCATTTATTCGTGATATTTTTATTCACTACTATTAAGTATGTATTTTCTTTTTGTGTGCTACACAGATAAACAAAAAAAATGTGAATATTAAAAATAGCTTTTCAATAACTAGTATAACCATTTTATCAAGTTTTTCAGTTAACGTTTCAATAATTTTACGGTGACACACCGGTTGCGGTTGAAGACAAAAAGCAGAAGAAAGCATAAAAATATAATTACATGGAATAATTTTCATAAGAAAACTCACCTCGCATCACATTTGATGAGCATGTAGGCATGAAATTGATTCCGTTCTGCCTTTCATTCATTCTCCTCGTTTCATTTGCAACTCCATATCTCCATACTCCTCGCAAATAAGGAACATTGGTCTGGATTGTTAAAATGCTACAATATTCGTCTAATAATAATTTTTATTCTGAACAATTGTAAAGTAAAAGCACGATATTTAAAAAAAATAAATTGCTTTTTATGGTTTTAGAAGACAATATTACACAATCAAAAATGCTACTGCTAAATCCGGTACTTTTCTATGACTTATGAATGTTTTTGACGGGTTGGTTAGCGAAGTCATATGCAGGCAGGTTTGTTAAAAATTCTATGCAGGTTATTATATCAAAGTTACCGTTTCTAAGAAAATTATTTTAAACTCATTAAAAGCTCAAATATTATTCAAAATTTATTAGTTATTTTGTGCAGTTGATTTTGTTTTATTTATTGAGTATTTCATTTAGCAAAAAGTTTGAGCCGGACAAAATACTATGAAATAAAAAAACTTTCCAAAAATTTTTTCAAAAAAAATTCGTCCGCAAAAACGTCCCACGTAATTTTCTTAAGTTTCTGGAAGTCTTTTTTGTTGACAGATATGTGACGTGAACACAACCTTTGCAAAAGATTAAATAGAACGCAAAAATTAGGACAAAAATGTAAAATTTTTGTAAACCAGTTCATGGAAAAAAAAAGATTAACAACCGAATATTTACTTTCAATACCGGAATTTAATTTTTAGACTTTATGTTTAACTTTTTTTTCGTCATCTATTTAACGTTGTTAACATCTTATTAGTGTGGTTGAAGAAAACTCCCATCAACACTCCAATAATATTATGAACCTAAACGCTCAACAGCAGTGCTGATGGTGGAGTTGATACCTTCTCGGCTTCCAATTCCTGCTTTGACCTAATCTCCGAGACCTGCATCAATCCCTACTGACATGTGTTGAAAGTTTGTGATTGATGGATATGCGTATTTTCTATACTTCTACATAGTAAATTTTTGAAAGCGATCAATATGTTCTATTCTATTGAAGGGATAGTGCTTTTGATCATTGCAGTCTTTCCTGCTGCCGATTTACCGGGGCCAGTCTACGACACGCAGCCAAAAATGTTGGAAATTAGCAAAATTCTAACTCGGACTTGAACAGAACCGCAATAAAAAACTCATTAAATATTACTGGCGTGCGAATTAAAGAATGCAACCTATTATAATCTATCAGATTCAATAAACATGGTGAGATAAGTGTGTGGTTGAACGTGGTCAGCTGTTTAAAAATAACTGATTATTATAATATGTAAGGCGAGTGTGGAAATGAGCGCACGAACGCTTATCTATCACAAATAAAATATTTCTGTTGAGATGAGCGTGATCAGCTGTTTATACCATGGTTTAAACACGTAGTTATAAAACTAAAAAATGTTGTGAAAGTATAGAATTGCAATATTTGTTAAAATAGTTTAGATTGGTTTGGACAAAAAAATTATTTTGCAGTTTATATAAAATAATATAAAATATTTATGATAAAAGTTAGGTTAGCATTTTTTTAACCGTTTTGTTTTGCAACCGTTTTGTAACCGTTTGTTTGTTTGCCTGAATATGAAAGTAGGCTTTTATCCTGCTGAAATGAAATTTTTCTGTTAGAACTAAGGATAATCTGAGCGTAAGAATGGAGAATAATTTTTTAAAGCTTGCCACTAATCAAGGGCTGAAGATGAGGTTTGAAAACACATCTTTATTCGCAGTCTTCTGAAATACCCAAAGTTCACAGACAAATAACAATTCTTCTCCTATTTCCTTTCATTTATTAATGTTAAATTGGTTTTTCATGATTAGCTGTAACGAAGATTACAAACAGAAACCATTTGGATGTTTGTTCCGTACTACCTGTGGCACTGTCCTCATTTCAACAGCGCTTTGTGAAAATGACAAAAAGAAGCAAGCTCAATCGTCGTACATAACAATTTCCATTTTAAAATGCTAAAACATATTTTATCGTTATATGATTTTAAATAAAAATTCCAACATGTGTGTGTGTGCGTGTATGTGTGTACACAAATTTTTACGCAATCCATCTGGTAGTGGCCCACGTCATGTCTGTTAAACTCAATACCCGTAAGAGGGAACCAAGTATTTGCGGAGCACTGACTTAGGCAATTCTCTTGGCCATTTTTGTTCTCCCATATTATTACTTAAACCTGGCATACAAAATAATCCAATGATTAAACATAACTCATCAAAAATTCTAAATTAAAAAAAGCATCATAGGAACATATTTTAAACTATTATGGAACTCACCGGTTGGTCTAGACAACTTTGACGGGAGGCCAAAGTTTTGACGGTGGCCAAAACTGGGAATTACTTGGCAACTTTTTTGGCTTATCACACAATTTTGTCAATTTGAAACAGTGTTTTCATGTTTAAAAAATCCATGTTAATGTATAAATGTAATTGAATTATGTATGTAGCTAAAATTTTTAAAAACTACAACAAAATGGTTGTCGACTGTTGATAAGAGCCCCTTCATCCTAAATCCGCCACTGATGGAACACAACTATAGATCAATAGTTAGCGCCACATTAAATAATATTGTCACATCCTAATTATTTGACAATGTTTATATATTAAAAGTAAACTTGAGTAAAAACATCAGTAAATGTAGTGTTCAATTTGTTCGTTGTTCAATAACTCAGTAGTATAAATTTAAAAAAAGATAAAATATTCTTCTGATATGGAAAGATCTAAGTTTGATTCTTTTCAGCGAACAATTGATGAACAGAACAAAAAAATTGAAACTTATAAATCGAAGTTGAAAGGTATGTCTGTGTCTGTGTATTTTTTTGTGATTTTTATTTTATTTATAATTAATATTTTATTTTAATTTTAACTGTTTTGGACCTTTGGTGTTGGGTTCTGACTGATCATATATATTATATATATTTATATTATTATAATTATATGATACATATAATATTATATTATAATTATATATATTGTGATTTGATACAACATGCATATGATTGTTATTGTCCATTAATTTCAGTTTGAGTACAGTACCAGTACTGTACTGATGATGATGATACTGACAACTGATTAACATTAAGACATTAAGTAGTAGTATTAGCAGTATAGTGCAGATTTTCCCGTTTTTTAAAAATCTGTCATAAATAACAAAATAGAACATTTCATTAATTTAAATTTACCTCTGGAATTTTTCAATTAAATTAAAATTGTTTTAGTCATTAATATATAATATATAAAATAAATACATAAAAAATAACTTGTTTTTTGTGAGGAGTAGAAGCCTTTTATCTGATGGTGTTTGCAGTTAAACTTAGCTTACTTAATCGTTATTTACTTTCAATTAATAATATTATATTTTGTATAATTTTTCATTTTGTTTCATTTCATTTTAAAGATGTCGTTCAAGCCTATAAAGACCTGATGAAAGAAAAAGAGGCTCTAGAAGCCACTGTAACAACTATAAAAAGCTTGCAACAACCACAATCAGCAACAGAAGCCAACAATGCTAAGAGTGTTCATGCTGAAGATAATACAGAAAATGTTGTTTTTTGTTATAAATTATTCATCATTTTCTGACTTGGAAATTACAAAAAGCTATGAATCAATATTCTATTCAGGTATCAAAAGTGAGTGCATGTGAAAAGAGCAACTCAGATGAGATTGAGGAGTCGACCTCAGCAGCTACTGATGCACAAAGTGGTACACAGAACAGTGATGCCAACATCTACCAGAAGATTGATGTCTTGACTTCATCTCTGCTGACTGTTACTCAGCAAAAATCAAAAGTTGAAGCAAATTTTATAGCTGAAAGAAAACATTTCAAAGTGAAATATTGCTTTATAGCATGTACATGTAACACTTGTATGCATGTGTGTTGTATATACAAGTGTATTTATATATATACACAATATAAATGTACGTGTATGTGTGCGTGTGCGTGTGTGTATATATATATATAACAAATGTACAAAGTATATGAATGGCATTTATCATTTTATGTATTATGAACAGCAAGTTCTTGAGGACAAAGAGAAAGAAGTGAACAATTTGTTGGAGCAGATACAACGGTTGGAGGGGAGTAGTAGTGAGGTATTTATGGATGGATGGATGGATGGGTGATTCTGTTTTCTTGTTTCCAACATTCGTAACTGTATAATAAAACATTGAAAACTGTCCCAGTTACTGCAGTGTTCAACAAATTGAATTAAATGATTAATAAAATTCAGTGGCGAAAGAAGTTGAGGCAGCAGCAGCAGGAGCATGAGAAGCAGCAGAACGATTGCTCACTGATGATGAAGGAACTCCAAACAATGATCAACATGCAAAAAATTGAAATTATGAGACTTGATTCTCAGGTCTCAATAAAGTTTTAATTAATTATTTAATGAATTGTCTCCCATTGTATTAATTAATATTTGTTATTAATATACAGCATCGAATAATTTCTATCCAAAAAACATTACCATTTCTTTTTTTGTGCATAGTATGAAATGTATTCTTTTTTCTCATTCATTTGCTAAAAATATTTTTCAAAAAAGTAAATTTTTTAAACTCTATCACCTCCAGTTTCAAATTAGATGAGAAGAGCAGTTTTAAAATACTTGCTCTCTTAACTTATCTACTTGTTGTACCGTTGATATCGTGTTTTAGAAGGCTACTGCACTGCTACAATCTGCTGTTGAGCAAGGTTGAGGCTTGCAAAGGACAATTCAATGATTTCAATACTTTTTGTACTCTAATATAATATATCTAAGTCATATTTATATTTCTAAATAATTTGTCCCTTACCTCAAATGCTATAATTCTTAAGCAACATCATATTCCAAATCCGTGTAAGAAGTTCATCCTGCAGCACTACATTGAAGCAGCCATCTGCATTCAACAACGAGTTTTAACACATGTTTTTCCTGTCCAATGCAATCCTGGCATTTTTTGATATTTAATCATTCAAATTTTGACATTCCATGACAAAAATAAATTTTAGTCTGACCAATTTTCAGGTTGAAGACGTGAAGTTGACTTCAGATGAGAAACAAAAATCAACAACAGCCTATTTGAATATCTTGGAAAATAAAGAAAAATCATTGAAAGTTGAACTTGATGAAGCAAATAAAAAATTGAAAGAAACTTACATCAAGCTCACAGAACCAACAGCAAAAATTGCTGTTCTTGAACAAAGAGTTATCGAGGCTGAGGTTGTAGAGCTTATTAAAATTTAAACTACTTGCATTTTTCAAACTTAGCAAAAATCGAATTCGGCATACCCGAATATATTTTATGGCAGTGATCAAGTTAGCTATGTATCCGCAAAACGTCGAAAAGCGCCATTAAACCGCTATACGAATTACAAATATTGATTGATAGGATAACTGGCCGACATACTAAGTGACTGACTGATTGGTGAGTTGGAACATCCAAGGTTTCCGCTAATTTTAACAGCAACTTATGTTATGCTCAGTGTTGAACTATTCCGCATTCCGATAATTTTCAAATGTAAATTTCTAGCTGATGGCTCCTGACAAGACTTCATTTAGATTTGGCAAAGGTGTTAAATGTAAAGTTGCATGGAAATAACAATTTGTAAACAATGCAAAACAATGTTAATAATTCAAGTTCACCTCTATATAAACATCATTTAATTATTCAGGAAAGAGAATCGAAACAGAAAAAAATGGACGAGAAGAAGATTGAAGAATTGGAAAGCAAAATAAAAGAGATTTCAAATTTGAGTGAAAGGAGAGTTGCAAGTTTGGAGGAAAGTGTGCGTCAGTTGTCAGAATCGTTGGGTGATGTCGAGAAAGAAAGAAGAAATGATCAGCTGATCATTGAAAAACTAAAAGACCGTATCTTAAAAGTATTGTTCATAATAATAATATATTCTTTGAGTGGTAACATGTCTAAATATATATATATATATATATATATATATATATATATATATATATATATAGAACTTGGTCTTCTTCCTAATATATATATATATATATATATATATATATATATATATATATATTATTGTTCCGTCTTTGTGTCTTTGTTTTTACAGCGACTTTGATTGTAACTAAATTAGAATTAAAGTTAATCATAAATAATAATAAAAACACATAAATAATAATAATAAAAAATAATACCAACATATCTATCTATCTATCTATATATATATATATATATATATATATATATATATATATATATATATATATGATATTTTAAAATAAATTAAAAATAACGCAAATAAATATATTTACAAATAAACTTTATAGTTAGACCAAGAAAATGTTGCACTGATGAATATATCAAAAGCTGTTGCTAAAGCTGTAGATAATACCGATGACGATGATAACAGTGACACAACCAGCTCTGAAGAGTTGTTCAACACAGTACAATCCTTGGTCAGAAAGCTCAAAAATAGAAAGTTTGATCTTTCTGCTCTCCAAGGTTTGGTAAAAAATCAACAACTTAATTTTGAAAATAAAATGTCAAGTATGTAGGCAGCGCGTGCAGGACAAGATGCAAACATAATTCTATTTATTAATTTTTACTTTCTTTCAACTCAAAGTATAACGATTCTCTGAATATTTTCAAATCAATATCAAAATAAAATAAAAAATAACAAGAACAATTTCTTAGGAACTTTTTATTTTGCAGCAAGTTTGCAGATTTCATATCTTAGTATGCTAACTATAATTCTTTAGTCTATATGTTCACAATAATATGATAAATTTCGGTGCCACTAAAATAATTATTTTAACTATAATTACAATATAAGTAAGGTTTTCTAGCTGTATATATAATATTTAGTCACATCATATTTTTGAACGTAAAAATTTGTTGAAAAAATTTCAGATATTGTATCTAATGACCAAGACTTACATTTGAAATGCAAGCAACAATACGAACAACTACAAGAAGATTATGAAAGATACAAACTTCGAGCTCAATCAGTTCTAAAAACCAAATCAAAGGTTTCAAATGCTCATTTTTTCATACTATATTTACAATTTAATAATTTTTTGCACCAAACATTTATATTAACAATCATTACATCAATTTGGAGCTCTTCACCTGTTTGAGCGTAATAGTGAGAATAATTGAATAGATTTCTCAACTAAAACTTTTTTCTGTATCTAGTTTGAGCATTATAGTGCACAATTTTGGAAAGAAATGATTTCCTACTAAAAGCTGCATTCACGTCACATCAGTTTCTAATACGAACATCAGGAACATGAAATTAAAAGGAATGGTCAATGTAAAATTGTACTTATTAAAAACAGAATTTGTATTTGTTCGCCCATTAAGCCTTATTATTCTACACGGAGTCTTGTGTGGCATTCTGAATGTGCAACATTGTTCACATAATGATTCAATAATTTTGCATTTCCATTGCAGGAATCTAACTCCGACCAGGAACTCATCAACCTAAAAAGGCAGATGTCCGAAATGAGGGAAAAGCAAGCTAAACTTATTGCTACAATTGATTCAAAAGAGATGTTGTTGAACAAAAAAGAAGAATCCCAAATAAATATTATAAACACGTTAGAAGCAAAGCACAAAAACGAAATATCAAGAATTAATGCAGACCACCAACAAAAAGTATCAGATCTTGAGCATGAAATCAGAAAGCAAAGAGATAGAACGATAAGCATGCTTGCTGATAAGGATCAAGAAATTAATGAGCTTAAAATGAGAATTTCGACACCAGGTAATGCTAGAAGTGTAAAGGAAGTGAGCCCAATTCCGTTTATTAACAATTCCTACGCTAATAAATTTGCGAATGTTCAAGAAACTTATAGTTTACCAATGGACGAGAGCAGCGAGGTTGGTGCCAGTTCTGCTACCAATGAAGAACCGGCAGATTTTAATTATACACACGCCATCAAAGAACTTTTTTCCAGATCTTCATTTGTTAGCGGAAATGAAAATACTTCAAGTCTCTTGCATTTTGCCCAAGAGAAAGCGAAAATGGAAATTGAAATTGCCAACTTGCGTAAACAAAAACATGATGTCGAACAAAAAGCTCGAGAAACATTTTGTGAGTTAACATTGGAAAAGCAAGAATACCAAAATAAATTGTCTGACATGATGGAATTCGTTAGAAAAACGGAAAGGGACAATAACAGAGAAAACGCAAATATGGAATACCTAAAAAACGTAGTCTACCAGTACATAATTTGCAAAGATGGGTCGTCCAGGCACCGAATGTTCAATGCCATTTCTACTATATTGCAGTTCAGTCCAGTCGAAAAACAAACAGTTCTTTCAAAAAAGGGTTGGTTGTTGTACCAGCAAAATCTCCATTCAACATGAACGTTTGTTTCAGAACTATTGTTCATTCCATTTATGTTATTTCAAGCCTTTTGCTTTATAACTATTAAGGTTCCAAATTTTTATTAACTGATTTTTTAAAAATACTGAGTCCGTGGAGTACTTTTGTTAATTATATTAACTTGATGCGCTAATAATGATTTATCTAATAAAAAATGAAATCTTAACATAAATTTTTAAATTTGCTATCATTCACTTTTCATGAATTATACAACAAAAATGTCATACCGTTACGAAAACTAGATTGAATTTTTACAAAAATTTAAATAAATTTTAACTTTTAAATAAAATCTAAGTTCCATTTAATGTTTTGTTTTTTTCCAACTTTATCGTAACATACGATTCGATCTCCAGCGCACGGACATTCTTGTTGGTCATCGAAACTCAGTCCACACTCCGTGTCTGTTTTTATTGAATCAACTTCATTTTTAAAATGCTTCAGAGATCCTAGTGAGCCTGAATTTGTTCATCATAATATTACCATAACGTTATTATAACAATAATATTATAATAACGTTAGAATATAGCCCATTTTAAGAACATTATGATCTAACCTTCTAAAATTGTTTGTCCGTTCCTGACAAGTTTGAATTGTTTCTTCTTAACGAGCTGACCTTTGACACATCGACATCCAGCAACCCAAACCTTTTTCTTTCCTTCCGTTACAGAAAAATTTGCTAGAACATTTGCCTCTCCTTCAAATGAATCAAGTTGTCTTGTTTATACAACCATTAAACAAAAATACAATCCGTAAAAACGTAACAACAATAGTTGCTATAAAAAATCAGGAAGCACAAAAATAATTTTTTACATTTAAAATCTAAAATGATTTATAATAAAATTTGTTATAGGTTATAAGATCCAGTGGTGGATCTAAAGAGACCATGGCCCCCCGTTGTGAGCAGTTTTTTTAGTAAAAGTCGGTAAAATACAATCCGTAAAAACGTAACAACAATAGTTGCTATAAAAAATCAGGAAGCACAAAAATAATTTTTTACATTTAAAATCTAAAATGATTTATAATAAAATTTGTTATAGGTTATAAGATCCAGTGGCGGATCTAAAGAGATCATGGCCCCCCGTTGTGAGCAGTTTTTTTAGTAAAAGTCGGTAAAATTCAGTTTTTGCACCAAAAAAGCACCGTTTAAGTAGAAAATCGAAATCGACCAAGAATTGACATAAGCAAAAAAGGTTACAAGCGTATTATAGGCCAGACTACGACAAATCTAAAACCAAAATAAAACAAAATTTAAACAGTTCCAAGATTTTGACAATCCTTATGTCAAAGTTGTCTAGATCCGCCACAGATAAGATCATAACATCGAGGAATACCTATGACTTCTTCATCTTCGATTTCAGGCAACTTGTTATTCAACTGTTTTATAAGATCAGCAAAAAGTCGGTAAATGATGTTGTAATTGAGGATTTTTACCCCTTGTTCTTTTGCTAAACTCAATATGCTGTCAGGCGTCTCGATGTTGAATGTGTAGATAATTCCTTTGCAAGCATATTAACAAAGATAGAATAAAATGATTTTGAAGTTATTTATGTGCAAAACAATCATGCATACAATGTTTGGTGAAAATGTATTTAATATATAATGAAATATCGTTGTGTGAATAGAAAATTTGATGAAGTATCAAAATACGCTACAAAATGTGATTTGCTAATAAATAAGTTTCGTTGATTTCCAATGAACATTAACATTTAAGGCTGATATACGCGTCGATTGGAAGCGAAACAGAACTGACGATTTGAACGTGAATAAGGTCAATTCATCCACTGAAGATATTTCACGCAAAATTAATCCCACCTACTACCATTAGTCGACAAAATACATTTTAGGATCATTCGTTTTTACATCCGTATATCAAAAAATATTATTTGAATTATTTCTCAATTTGTTATTCACTTTGATTCGTAGAAACTATAACGTTATTCAGTTTCCACACATTTTTACAAATATTCCTTTACAGCTTAATAAACGAAGTCAGTAAAAAATTAACAAAAAAATTATCTTTGGCATGTGATTCCTAATGGACGGCATGGAAAACGGACAAACAGCAGTCTTACCATCAAACATCTGCGCCATCTGGACATCATTTTCGGTAACAGCTCCCACGCCATAGTTGATTACATTCAGTTTGCATTGATCCGAGCATGAGTAGGTCTCGACCACGTCCAATATCGCTTCAACAGATCCATCCACATCACCTGCACTTTCAAATTGTGTTCAATCAGTAAACATCATCTACTGATTTTCATATTAACGCTAATAAAGTACGTGTGAACCGTCATCATCCTTTAAACAATTTATTGCATCGTCAACATTTTTTGAACTTAGAGCAAAAAGTTGGTTTCCTCATTTACTGAAAATCGTCAAAGAGAAACCATCATTGGATATGTCGGAGCATCTACTACCTCATTATCCAACTGATAATATTATTCGTTTAAAAACATCCAGCTGAATAAACTTGAATGTTATATAATTAAAGAGAATCATTGTTCGATTGTTTTGATTGGCTGATTAAGTGATTCATTGAATAAGATTATGCCTTCTCTAACTGAAAAAGTCCAAAATAGGTCTACGGTTACCAAATTCTTGGTTAGTACTTAGTGTCACCTTTAACTGTTTTTTCAAGTCAACAATGCATAGATCTTGCTTAGTGCTAAAACGTTATGAATCAACATACAATAACATACAATAATGCATGAAATATATATTGAATGAACTTTAAAATCTGATGAGTTATTTTTAAAGTACCTTTAATGATTATGTCAAGTTTGGGTACACCGTTATCAGTCTGGCTCTCTTTAGACCTACCTGCTCTATAAATTGATCCCATTCTTCGCCCCAGCTCCAACTTTTTTTTTCTCAGCTCGTTGTAAAACTATTAATTTTATAAATAATAAAACAAAACCACATCACTTAACAATAAATTATATAAAAATTAGTATTTATAAATGAATGAATGTGAAAAAATATGCATGCCTCCCTATGTAGCTCCATTTTCTTCTGAATGACCTCATTATCCATGTTAATTTTTTTCTCATTTTCTTCTTCACTATATTTTTCAATCAATTTTTTTGCATCTTGCTGAAGGATTTTGGTTTGAAACACTTCATTGTTAATTTTATTATGATTAAACAATATTATCTCATTTAGCACTAAACTTGAGTTGACACAAACACAACATGACACAAACCTCACAATCAACTTGGATGATATTTTGTCCAGCAGGAGCCAGAGTCCTCCATCCAATGACTTCAACTGGTTGACCTGGTTCTGCCTTTTCAACTGGCTTGCCTTGATCATTAAACATGCCTCGTACCTTTAAGAATTTGTTAAAAATACAATTATAGAACTGCTTCATAAAATTTATTTTCATAGTTAAACAAACATCATCAAAAATTATCATACTACTTTTGTCATACAACTGTCAGAATGATTGTTTTATTTTCAAAGTTCAAACATTAACAAATAAGAAAAAATAATGGAAAATGTATTTCATCATTTTATACATATATTATATCACATCTCACAATTCTTTTGACTAGTTATTAAAAAATGTAAAAATAACTATAACATAAAAATATCAAATCTATCTCAAAACATTGCTCGCAAGACATTATTATAAACACAAACATTTTTCAAAATAAAACTTGTATCAACAACATGCAAAACAATGAAACCCACATAGAATCAACTACACCAGACCTTAGCCCACGCACCACCGCCCACACAATGAAACCCACATAAAATCAACTACATCAGACAAGAGTTCACACACCACCGCCCACACAATGAAATTCACATAGAAACAACAACACTACACCTTAGCCCACGCACTACCACCCACTAAGATGTCCCCTCGCTTCAGACTGCCTTGCTGGATCAATAGCGTTGATAACTTTCTGAAAATATGAGCAAAACAAAACAAACTTAATGGTGTTTAATAAAATTTGAGTTTAAGATACATTTCATCTGAAGTGAACCGTTAAGACCGCTCATCTTATGATAAAATTATTAATTGTTCTTTTATTTTGAAAAGTTTTATTTCTGTTTATTCAACAACCATCTAACAAGTTTATTATAAACTTGCAAAATAATTGCAAAATTTAACCATTTAGGTTACATTGATATTGCGGTTAGTCCGTTAGTTTAGAGATGTAAGTGTAAAAATATGATATCGTATAGATACAGAGCGTATATAACGTTTAAGAGAAAGAAGTGAAATGAAAACAAACGAGTGTTAACATTTTCAAATCGTGTGCAAAAAAAAGGGCAAAAAACAGGGAGCAAATATTTAATAGTTCGTTTACTAAAACTTGAGGCTTGGATTCATTTAGGCAACCATTTTCTTCTTCTCTCATAACGTGAAAGACTAAGAAATATTTTTAAAAATAATTAGTTTGATAAAAATTAAAATTTGGGAGTATTCATAAATTTCAGGTTACGGTTCCTGAAAAATATCTAGAAATATTTAGTCACAGAATTTTTCTAGACCTCTCTACTGCAGCATTTTGAAATATGAATTTTCTAGCAAACAAGTAATTTTTTATTTTTTAAAAAATCAGAATCTGCCAGTTGCAGAATCTGTTACAACATGAGAAATTTATTCTAAAAATTTGAGTTCCAATTTTTTCTTTTCAAGAAATAATTAGCAAAACATTTCATATAAACCCTCTGCCAGGGTCAGTCCTGGATTCAATGCAAACAGCCTGCACATGACACGTTGGATCAGCTTTCAAATCCATCATCTCAGCTTGGGCGAGGATGCATTCCTGCAACTTGTCCAAGTTCAAACCCTGAATAAATTGTGTGTGAATGTACAACGAATGAACAAGATCATAAACACTCCAAAAATGAAAGGTTAGAAACAACCTTCAAAGCAGATATCAGCACCAATTGCACATCCCCGCCAAATTCTTCCAGCTGAATACCGCTATTCAATAATGACCTCTTGGTACCTTTCTAAAGATTAAATAGCAACATTCATTAAAAATAGTTTCGTTGAAATGTGTCCACTTCAAACTAAAGAGAATTAAATTCTTTCACCCCTATGAAGCAAATTTAAACAACAAGAAAGCAAGATAAGCGTACAAAATAAATAACATCAACTGGTTGTAAAATTAGTGATCCCTTCAGAATTAAATAAAATACAAATTACAACTTTTTAAAAATACATGAATAAAAAAAACTTGCTAGATCGATGTTTGGTTTGTCAATTTTGTTGATCGCCACAATAATTGGAACTGTTAAGAAAAACACAATGACCTTACATTATCGTTAATACTATAAATTCAAATCAGACAAATCAATCAACCAATCATCATTTAGCGTCCAGAGACCCAGTTCTCCCGAGGTAGGACGTTTTTTTCTTTGCCATCAATTTTTTGCACCAAATTTGGCGATCAGTTGTATCCATTTAGACAAATGAACAGGCAAATATTGTGAGAAAACAGTTTCACATGTTGGCTCAGCGGGAGTTTTACAGTGTTTCAGTGTTACGGCGTAGAATGCGTAGAAGAAATACAGCGCAAAACTGGACAACGAAGAAAGATTTACAAATTACAAAATAACTAAAGAGAAACTACGTGAAAAAAACAGGTGAAATTTATGTTATTATCTCTTTTAAAAATGTGGCTAGTTTACATTATTTGTGAGTTATCAGGCTCAAAATCCATAACAAACAAGATATTAAAAATAAATTAATAAATTAATATTAATTGTTAGTAAATTAATATCTAAACAAATTAAAAAAATATATACACATGGATAAACCAAGAAAAATAGAAGTTTTAAGAGAATATTCAATTAAAAAACTAACTGATAACAGAAAAAAAATCATTAATTAATGGATACATAGAAACAAAGAAATAACAAAAGTAACCACCGTTGGCGTCTCTGGCGAACCTCAGCGATTCCAGCGTTTGTTTCATGACTCCATCATCAGCGGCAACAACCAGAACTACAATATCAGTTACCATGGCTCCACGAGCGCGCATTGATGAGAAAGCTGCATGGCCCGGCGTGTCCAAAAATGTAATCACATTGTTGGAAGTGATTTTCTTGCTGCTGCTGTTTGCTCCTCCGTCGTCGTTAGTCTCATGTAATCTAACTGTTAAAAAAAACATTACAAGATATGGGTTGAAGTTGACAGAAACACTAGAGACCTTAGTGAAGGGGAATGATAATGTGATAATGATCATATGATGACGATAATGTAATAACAATGATTTGATAATTGTAGTGTGATAATAATGATGAAACGAGAGGTTAGTAGCTGAAAGCATGGAGCAACCAACCGGAAAAGGCTCCAATGTGTTGCGTGATACCTCCAAACTCCTGGGCCACCACGTTGGTCTTTCTCAATGCGTCCAGTAGCGTCGTCTTGCCGTGGTCAACATGACCCATGATTGTGACTATTGGAGGACGAGCCGCCATTTTCTCCACGTCAGGAAGTCTTCGACTGCATCAAAAGTTTAACAACTCACTACGAATATTTTATACTATATATAAATTACGTGTGTGTGCTGAACGCCGTGTTAAAGAAATAATGCTTCACACAGCGCTGAACATTTCTTATTTTTATTTCGAGTCACTAGCTTTTATATCTATATATTTTTTATAGTGTGTGTGCTGATGCTTTTTTCGGTATTCCTATACCATCTTCGGTGTGTGAGTTTGAGCACATAAGAGGGTATAGGAATACCAAAAAAAGCCTCTCTGTTCTATCTCGCGTAAAACAAATATAAATTTTGGTTTTGAGCTAAAGAAACTGGAAAATGATTTACGATAAATCGTTAGAGAAACCGAAAAGTTAAATTGGAAGTGAACTAACGCCGAACATGCTGTGATTTTCATCTATATATGCACACATATATATATAATATATATATATATATATATATATATATATATATATATATATATATATATATATATATATATATACACACTCAAACAAATCAAAAATATTTTGAAAAATAAGTACTTAGATAATATTGGTTCATCTTTTGCTTTAGTTGGCTTTTCTTCCTTGGCAGCGATTTTAAACTGATAACCACACTTTGCAACAATTTGTTTAATGATTGATAAATTATCAATCTCTGTTGAATAAAATTTTTGAAAAATATATACATATATATAAATTATAAACTAAGGTAAATAAATACCTAAAATGTATAAATTGGGAACTGACAAAATATGGTTTACTGAGACAAAGGGAAAATAATGGATTGAGATTTAAGCCCTCGAATAACAAGTCTGATAATATAAATTGATTGATAAATGTAAGGAAGATGAAGTTGAGTCAAGTCAGCATTTTCATATGTGGCTATTGCAGTTTTGTTGGATAGCAGGATGATGTGTTTTTCAAAAGACACTTTCATTTCAAGACAGGCAAGATGTGCCGAAACATGCAGAAACATTTAGCAGTCAGTAAATTTTTCGGACAAAAATAGGCAAATGAAGAGTAAATGACAATATAAACACGCCATTTTTAATTACGTAATTAATGAAAATAATTTTTTAAAAAATTTTTAGAGTATAAAATGAATAATAACAATTTGCAAATATTAAACGTCCATTGCTACCGAGTTTCAAAGTCTCCAAGCTTTAAGCTTAGTAATTTTTACAAATTTTGTAAGATTTAAGATTGAATGTAAACATTCATAAATAACTTAATTATCAAAACTGTGAGTCATACTTTTTTTTTAAATCATACATTCAAGATAAATTTTTTAAAATAACCAGTTGAAATTTGAAAGTACAAAATCTGAACAGCATGTAACAATAAAAAATAGTGCTCTAAAAAAAACCTGGTGTGCTCTAAAAAAATAATTATCCACACAAGCATTCAACCTTTGGTGACTTGGGACACAAAAAAATGAATTGCAAAATTATCTATTCAGTAATCGTAGTGCAGTTGATTGATTATATTCAGTGCAACCGGGCAGCTGGATGGCGTGATGGTGAAGCACTCACTCCAGCACTGGAGAGCTTTAAATTCAAATATGTTTCCCACATACAGACAAGTAAAGCAATAAGTGAAAGTTATACAGGTGTCGAAACTGGCTTCTAATTTTTCTAGAATTTCTCATTTATGAAACAAAAAACATGAATAAAATTCACAAAGCAGGCTTGAATAACTACATGAATTTTCAAAACTTCAATACAAATTTTACATGAAAAAAAATTAAAACAAAATTTAACTCAAATTTAAGAAGAATGAACTAATGAACAAATTTATTTAATCTATACAAAATTTCATAAATTTGCAACTGTATAGTAAATGGATTAATTCAAAATAGATTAACCTGAAATATTTCTCCTATAATTTTCTGTCCCATTTATATAAGACATCGCTTCAAAAATCTGTTCTAAATAATTGAAATGCCCAAGTTATAATGAAATATTTCGATTTTTCTCACTAAAGTTTTTTGGTCAACGCTTAGTTTATTAAAATTCAAAATAAACTTATTTTCCGAATTCATGCTGCAAATAAGGCCATATTTCGATTCGGAATCGATTTCGATATATATATATTTGATTGACAGGGTGCGGTTTATAGGAACGCCATTAATTAATAGGTTTAGGTAAGGAGCTCTCTCTCTCTCTCTCTCTCTCTCTCTCTCTCTCTCTCTCTATATATATATATATATATATATATATATATATATATATATATATATATTCACATTAACATTATATATTACAATATTCTATAAATTTACCGAATGTTTGGCGTTAATATGTTTGTAGTTCGTTTTCTTGATTTTTCTCACTAAAGTTTTTTGGTGAACGTTTAGTTTATTAAAATTCAAAATAAACTTATTTTTTGAATTCATGCTGCAAATAAGGCCATATTTCGATTCCGAATGAGTCATCATCAGTGCTCCTTGTTGTATATATAGGGAAATATTGACTTTGGCGTTAACATGTTTGTAGTTCGTTTTTACAAACTACTCAATTACTTCTACTTCTCAAATTACTTCTACCAAAGTCAATATTTCCCTATACATTCCCCAAACATTCGGTAGAATTTATAGAATATTGTAAAAAATATATATATAAATAAGCAAATTGGATATAATTATAAAGATCAAGTTCATTTGCTAATAATAGTCATCATAGTCATCATCTTGCAACTTTTTTCCAATAAACTTCTCAAACTACTTCTTAAACAACCAAATTGCACAACTTCTTCTAACTCAAACTACTTCTCAAATTACTTCTACCTAAACAACCATACCACACAATTAAATGGCATCAGAATAACCAATGGTATGTTCTAGTAGCAATCACCTGTCTACATACAACTGAACAAATTTCAATGGCCATATTTTTTCCAAATCACACATCTTTCACAGCATACCGGTAAACATCTTCTATCTAACCCACCATTCAACAATCTGCCAACCAATTGCTAATAAAAAATTTTCTTTTAACTCAACTTCATACACTATTCACTCTTTTTCACGTAATAGCAGTCATCTTTCCATCCTTCTGGGAAAAAAAACATTTAGACATGATGTCACACAATCTTTTTAAATAATTCACTGGAATATCAAGTAATCAAATAAAGTTTCCCATGAACAATCAAATTAAATTTAAAAGTGTTAACAAGACTTTACTCATGACCAGTTGAATTACTTGATTCACTTAAAGTTAAATGGATGCTAATCTCTACTAATAGCTTACTAATGTTTCTCGAATAAGCATTACGATTACAAGTACCCAGGTTTATTTGTAATGTTAAATGTTTATGAGCTAATGTAAAACAGAAATAGTTTTATATAAAAATAAATAATTACCATTTGTTCGATTTAACAACTTAGCAAGGTCGTTAACTGTCATAACATTTTTTATTTCCACTGTGTTAATTTGTTTTTGGCTTTTAGATTTAAATGACACTGGTTTTATCTGGAAAAGTAAAAATATATTTTCAAAAAAACTTATGAACTCAAGAAATTGTCAGGTAAGTATAATTTTTCATCCACTCACTAATTCATAATTGTTGATTTATTTGAGTTAGTATTTACTATTTACTTTACATTATGAATTCTTATATTTGTTTATTCAATCATTCATTTCATCTCATTTTCATTGGATGACTATTAAAAAAAAGTAAAGAAGTAAGTATTATAAATTATATTATACATAAGTTTAGATTAGAAAATCAATGGTTATTAAGAGAGTAAGTAAATAAAATTAAAATAATTAGATTACTACAGCAATTTTTTATTTGTGACAAATGTTTGATTTAATTAAATTTAAAGTCAACCCAACTAAATTAAAAAAACACAAATATTCGAAAGAGCAAGCAATCAATTTTTCTTACGAGCTTCTTTTTCGAATTTCGGTTAAACTCCAGGAGCACAGAGCTAGTCCTCAGAAATCTAATTCGCTGATCAAACCTTGTCACTCTATTAAATTTTAACAAAAAACTATTATCAAATAAAACCGGCATAGTATCTTCAATTTTTAGCAAGATACGGTTCTTGAATTACATATTTTATGTGTTTTTATTAAATGTTTACTCTGCGACGAGATTTGTATTGAATTATTGCTCGTTAATGTGTACTTTTAATATCGCTTGTTTACAATAAAAAAACAGCATAAGCATATAACAAAAATTGTTATACGTAATTCCGTTTTCAGCGCCACACTTACACAATAAAAAAAAGTATATGTTCAGCGCTATTCGAAAAGACTTTGTCATGACAACCGAAACAAATCATGGCTGAAAAAGTGAGCGAATATCAAGAAGAATATTGTAAGAGAAAAGGAAGATGGTCAAACAACACCGAATGGAAGTCGTTGAAACCATGCAGCAAATCGTACGAAGAGCAGCCCGTCGGTGGCAGAAAAGCAAAAATCGACGATGGAATGAAAAAATCTGATGCAAATTTTCAGTTGGCTTGTTCTGGATGTGTCTGTGCTCAGCTCAATAAAAATGAAAAAAATTTCTGTTGCTGCATTTGTCACAAGACTGCGGGAAAGTATCCAAACATGCCTGTTCCGTCTGTTCACAAATTGAGATACATTTCTGAGAATTATGTGACTGCAGACAACTAGTATTAGCTATTTTAAATTTATTTTAAATTCATGGACACCTGTTTTGACAGTTCTACCCTTTAATTACTAATGAGCTCAAATTCCATCAATTTCATTAGCTGGTAGGAAGCTGTGAATGCTGACAGTTGTGAAACGTTTATATTAATGAACATATACTACCATTTCATTTAAGAATTTTTAATCATGGTTATCAAGATGAATATAAACTCTTTAAATGATATTAATTAGGTTTTATTTTAGTCATTATGTTATAATAAAATAAAGCTATTGTTAAATTCGATCATAATTAAAATTTCAAATATCATTGTTTTAACTAATGTTAGAAAATGGAATGTTGTAAACCTTTGAATTTTAGTCGAAATAAAAATTTGAATTCAAAGATTCTTATTAAAACTAAAAATATGAAAAAATTCATAATTTACACATGAATTTTTAAAATAATTATTAACGGATGACAGGTAATTAAACAATAAGATAGGGAAGAGCTTTATGTGAAAGAAACAAGGGTTAAGTAATACAACAATTTTTAATTCATTATTGGTACTGTTCAAAGGTACAATTATGTGCATGAAAAAATTGCCTCAATTGAAACAGGAGATTTGTTGTTAAAAATCATAATAGGCATTTATATAGATACATCAGATAACTGAAATCATTAAAAAATTTTACATAGGTATCCATGAGGAGGGAAAGTAATCAGCATGATTTGTGCTTTCATAAAGACTGGAACCCACAACGGGCCAATCTTTATAATAAACAGTTGTCCCATTGGCTAACCATGCAGACCACCATCCAAATGTGCCAACGCTAATTATTGTGTGGTTACATTTTGACAAAATGGCCATATCTATTGCTGGATGGTTTGACTGAATAAATATCAATCTATCAGTTATGGAAACCAAGTTGAATTTTGCCCATTTTAAATCATCACTGCTTACTACAAAAACACTTTTCAAATATTTATATTTTTTCAGAAAAAATTCCATTGCATTTTTGTAATATTCTATAGGTGGAGTTGTGTATCCTAAATCTCTCAAATGTTTCTGGTCTAAATTTTTTCTACGTATGTGAACTGCAATCTTTACATCAAAACAGGGGTGTTTGCATTTTTCTTTTTCAAGGTATTTCAATCCTTGTTTTAAACGTTGTTCAGCAGCAAAGTCAATGTCTTTGTGGAATTTAAAAACAGTGTTTCTTATAAATTCATTCTCTACATTGAAATACTTCCATGATTGGAAAAATCTATCAAGTATGATGTGATGATTTGCAGGCAAATTGTTGACTAGTGGATCATATTTGGCATAATTAGCTTCATGAAATGTTAGCGCACTCAAGCCATCTTTTAGATAGGATGCACTGCACTTCGGAAACTTCATCAAATTTGGTTTACATGAAAATAAAATAGTTTTATTATTTATGATTAATCAAATAGTAGAATAAATGAATATTGAAAAAATTGTTTAAAATTTTAAACATTTAAATTTTCATTTATTAAAAAAAGAAAATTACTCAATTAAATTATTAAATACAAGAAAATTTAAAAAAATTTTAAATTGATCCTTTTTTACTATTACTAGGAGTAGGAGAATATGAATTATTTATATTAGAAATCACATTTAACTTTTTAACAATAAAAATTACATAATTGCTTTTTATTTCAAATTTTATGTGCAATGCTATTTATGTAAAATTTACATAAATAGCATTAAATATAAAGTAAATAAATTAAGTAAATAAATATATAATAAGATAAGAAAGGTGGTAATTGATAGGTTTACCTGAGACAGATCAAAAAATTTTCTAATTTTTACATTTTTGTTGAAGCAAATAACTCTTGAATTTCCAGTCCTGTTATTTATACCGACAGTTGATGCAAGAGCATACATTTCGTTGCCCATGCCCCATCTCTCGGTGGAAAAGAAAGTTACAAAATTCTTACCGTCAGTCACTGAAGGTCTGTTTTCACTATCCAAGAGCAAAGGCACAAGTACATAACTAAGGGAGATCGCAGTTAGACCAGCCACACATAAAACAATTTTTTTAAATTTCATCGCAATTGCGTTATTACAGCTTTTGTCTTGATTTCATCACGATCGCGTTTTAATAATTACTTATCATGATATCATTATAATTACATGTCACATACATACAGCAGGGCTTCGGGCTTTTGGATAATTTAATTAATTTTTTTTTTTAAGAAATAAAAAACCTGCAGGCAACAATCTGCAATCTATTGTTCATTTATTCACGATTTTCAGTTTTTTTAGTAACAAGTTCCATCCTATCATATTTTTAAATTACATTTTTAAATTACATTTTTAAATACTCTTTAAAACATCATTTCATTTCAAAACATCATTTCCCCAGAAACCGTCTCATGTCATCCCTCCACCCTTTATTGACACCGCTTCGTTCAATTACCAATACAAATACAAGTGCTGTCAAGTAACCGCCGGTATATCTAGCCGATTTATTCCCGGATTGACGCATATATGTAGATTAGGTTAAGGTTAGAGGAGTTAGAGCACATATATAGAATGAATACTTTTGAATTTTAGTTGAAATAAAAATTTGAACTCAAAGAGTGTTATAAAACATAAAAATAGGAAAAATTCACATAAATTTTTAAAATAATTAGGTTGGATTAAGGCTTTAAGGTTATGTTTTGGACCAGTGGTGAACATTCAACCATGGATGCTAACGTTTGCAGTCAGCGGGTTGGGATATTATATATGCTTCTCAATTATCACATTCTATATTCTAAGTACATGCCTGCCCCAGAATAAGTTCAGGTCAGGAATATGTGGCAAATTCTTATTTTTATTATATGCGTAGGCTTTATAGAATATAAAAAGCTATATAAAAGGCTATAGAAAAGGCTATATCTAGATTATATGTATATATCGTATACTTACATAGGCACTTACTTTTTATAAAAACATTTTACAAAATATGTCAAAAATATGGTAGCTTAATGATTATAATGAATAAATTATTCAAAATATTTGCAATAAAACGCTATTTTGTGAGACCAATTTCATCCACTTCTGTTCTGTTAAGGCCAAACGACAAATTTATCGCATGTTAACATTTTTTCCATCTGCTGACTTTTGTTAATTTTTTGCAGTTTGGTTTGTTTCACTTGTTGCGTACATTAAAAAAGAAGAAATTTCTTAAGAGCACTCTCCTTAACGTATTCAACATCAAAATTTATAAACTGAGTTTCTCATATACTTTATCATACCTCAAAATCTCTTTAATAACAATGTAACAATGACATAATCTTTAGATATATGAACTATTTCTGGTAACTAATACATCTGATTACATGACATCAATACTCAGTCAAAATGACGTGGATATCGAAATACCTTTTCATGATCGGTATATTTTGTAATCTTACACCTACTTATATATGAACAAAAACATAAATAGTTAACATTTTATGATGAAGCTATTTGATATTAGTTTAATAAAATCGCTAACTGTTATTACTTTTGCAAAAAAACAGCTGATAAAGTTATTATGTCGACATAACTATGGCCGAACATTAGACGAACATTCTACCGAAGCTGTTTATTTATTCTGATTCACGCTTCTGCGAATACTAGTACAGAGGGCCCACACAGCCACAGTAACTAACTAGTTGATGCTTCTTAGTGATAACTAGTTCGATTTAGAGAGTTAGAAATTGTATTTGATAATTTTTATATAACTTAATTAAACTAATTTTTTTTACTTTATTCAACTTTCAACAAAAATATTTATGTCATAACCATTTGCTGATATTAAGTTTTTGTTACATGTTTTATATAAATAAAAATATCTTTCACATAAATTTGCTATGAAACTTTTACTGAGTAGTATAAAAAATAGGAAAACATGCAAGCAATTTTTGAGCAATAAAATAAATAAGTTTCATGAATGCAGCAATAAAATCAGTTTTAGCAATTTTAATAATATCACCAGAACTCATTCACAAAGAAAGATAAAGTTGGTTTTTAATATTAAAATCAGTTGTTTTTTTTAGATATTAAAATATTTTGATCATGTACTATTAAACACCACCAATTTTGATGATTTAGGTGCTCCTGGTGCAACAGGAGCAACAGGTTTGACTGGACCAACTGGTTACACCGGTGCAGCTGGACCTGATGGACCACCGGGGCCAATTGGACCACAAGGAAATCAGGGTCAACAAGGTTATACAGGCTCCACCGGATCTCAAGGACCATCAGGCAATATTTTATTCATAGTTATTTCATAGACAAAATTATTTATAATTAATTTTATTATTGTTGTTTTATCTGTAACTAATAAAATTTTGAAATAAAATTTTATGTGTAACTAATAAAATTTTAAAATAAAATTTTATGTGTTTCATATAAATAACTTGAATTTTGATTA